TTTGTCAGGAAAAAAAACAGAAATTTATTCTCTCTCATTTACAGCAAGTGGGATTACTCAGCCCCTGAAACTGTTTTGGAGCTGAGAAAATATTAGTAATTACCCAAATCAAGAAAACAATACTTCAAAAAATAACAAAAGGGGAAAAAATAGAAAAATTCTTCTTTCTTTCCTCTAATGTTAGTGATACAGATAAAATACGGAGTAAAAATATAAGGCTCTACATATGGTTTAGGACTCTTTTTGACAGAGCAATACACTTCGTTCTGACACAAACGCACACCCTTCTCCCCCTGAAAACGAGCACAGTTTTTCAGAGTACTGTATTTTCCGCCTTAACCACGGAGGGAGGCAATCCACCTGCGCTCTCTAACACAAACACCCCTGTCGTTTCAGGGGATGTATTTGTCCTGAACCAAGTTAAACGTCGAAGTCCAGCCCCTTAAAGGATAAAGGCCTTAAACTAAATAGTTCTTGTGACACGGTATTTGCTTGTAAATAAGTGTACCAGTCACCTAACGCTACATAAACAGATTACACTATGTAACGAGTAACACTCCAATACAGAAAACAGTGAAGCACGAATGTCGTCCTACCTACCTCCTTGGCATTAGTCGTATGGTTACTTTAAACGCAACCATATGGGATTTCTTAGACTGAAAATATTGTGGCTGTAGGCACCAATCAGCACTTCGAATAATCGGCGTTTAAGTAACAAGTTAAAAAAAAAAAAAAACCACATACAGGCACAGTGTTGTACTCACTTTTGACAGCAAAAACACCCTTTTCCCCTCACAGCTGTGTACCGCATCGGTCGGTCCCAAAGGGGAGTCTGCTCTGCGAAACCCCTCTCCTGAGGCTGAGCAGCTTGAGGCGCGGGTGGGTTTTCTCCGCGTCCCTTGTTTAGAGCAACGCACCAGGATCAGCTACCGCAGAAGCGCTACCGTTAGGGCCGCGCGCGCGGAGCTGCTCCCCTGCCCCCCACCCCCCGACACGCAGGGACA